GTCAATGTTATTAAACATATTATAAGCTTTATAATATATGTTACATTGTTTCATTTCTAATGTAGGGTCTTGTGTCAGATAATCTAAGTCAATGTTAGAGAATAATTTTTTTTTATATATATATACGGAATCTCAGTTAGCCTTCATAACGGGGCTGAACAGCAGTATTACACCAAGCACTGTAGCTAATGTTAGCTGGTATCTCGCCGGTGGACATAAATACAGTAAAGTAATATTCTAATCACAAAATAGACACAATAATATGTCCATCTTACTTGTGAAATTTTGTTTGTGGAGCCCTCGCATCAATAGTCTGTCGATCCGAACAACAATATCCCTCAGTGCTGAGGCATCTTCTGCTGTTTTGGTTGAGCAAAGTAGGAGGGACGATCGCTCCAAGATGGCCGCCGTATTTCCTGCGCTGGAGCAGCCAATGCGGGGTCTACTCTTATATTATGTCTATGTATGTCATTACCATTACATCAGTTTAAAATGGATTTCGAACAATATTATCGTTTATCGCAATAATATTTAAGACAATTAATCGCCCAGCAAAATTTGTTATCGTGACAAGCCTACATACACGTTGCCTTCATGAATCCAGATTTGTTGTGAATTGGGCGCAGCTGTGCATGTCATTTCTCCACACCTAAATGCATATGCAATTTGGTAAATACACAGAAATTTTCCACTACTGGTTTGAGTAACCATGACAACGATCTCTGCTTAAGTCTGTTTTCAATTACAACTAATAATAATAGATTTTATTTAAAAGGTGCCTTTCAGAACACCTTTTAAATTTATTTATTTTATTACTATACAGAAAATAAAATGAAAAGCAAATTGTGTGTTTTTCACATTTTATAAATCATAAAATAATTGTATTGTGTAAAACGTTAACTTCAGTTGTTACAAAAATGTTGAACTCAGTTTAGAAGCTCCTTCTCAGTGCATCGCTGGTCAACAACATTGTTAAAGGGTTAATAGAGGAGCCATATTGTGCTGGCTTCCTGAAAGCGGAGCTTCAGAAAGAGCAAGAGGTTTTAAAAAGACACAGCCTGGAGCTTAAGGTGTTAAATTAGGAAGTAAAATTTATTTAAAAAAAGTTTACGTTGCTGCTGCACATTTTCATGCCAGATTAAAAGTTTGTTTGGATTACCACACACCGTTATGCTTTGTTTATTTTTGTATAGGCCAAAGTGTTTGTAAAATGTTGCACTGCACATTATTTTTGCATACACAATAGAACTTTGAGAATATCTCCAATATTTTTTTATTACTGAATTTGTATCTGTGGATCTTTATTAATTCATTCTGAAGTTTAAGGATGTAAATAATTTTCTATCTTTCAAGATTTTTTTTTTTTAACCTAATATTTTTGCATTTAGGTACAAGACCACCACTCATCAAGAATTTGCCTAAACCCATTGAGAGCCTGATGACACGCTGCTGGTCTAAAGACCCCTCTCAGCGGCCTTCCATGGAAGAAATAGTCAAGATTATGACTCATCTAATGAAGGTAGTATGCCATCTCCTATTGCTCACACCATCTACACTTTTTTTATTGATGTACAGATGGTGTACAGAAGTGGGAAAATTCATATCAAGTAGCTTCCTGTTCTAATGTTCCTCATTAAAAATTAAAGAAAGAAACCTGCAGTGTTTCAGCTTGGTTGGACTGAACTGCTGTGGTCTGATGCAAGAGGGGGAAACAAGTATTTAGTCAGCCACTGATTATGCAAGTTCTCCTTAAAACTTGGAAGGACGAGAGGTCTGTAATTTTTATAATTGCTAATTTTAATCACTTCAACTTCGAGAGACAAAATGAAAAAAAAAATTCAGCAAAGTTTCAGTTTGTTCACTCACACAATTTAATAAATTCCATGATGAGCTTACAACACACTGTTTTACCAGATAATACAGATCACAGATCATAATTGCACAATTACCGTATTTTCCGCACTATAAGGCGCACCTAAAAACCTTCAATTTCCTCAAAAGCCGACAGTGCGCCTTATAATCCGGTGCGCCTTATATATGGACCAATATTGAGCCACAACAGGTCTAGCAACCACGGTAAGCAGCCGCTGACTTCATTTTCTCCCGTAGAAGAAGAAGCGCGTGGTGCATGCTGGGATAGTTGTCAGAACACTGGTTTGCAATCTATTAATAAAGTTTGACTGACCTATCTACCTACCGACCGTCTATAATCAGGTCGTCTGCAGGTCATTTAGCACCACGTTCTCCACGAATATGCTGTGCGCGAACAGAGAAGGGTGACCATCGTCCGACCACGCCCAGGCCCTGTCGCGGTCTCCTCTCCGACCGGAGTTGGACTGTTTTGTTGACATTCCCTTTAGTGCAGCTTTATCTAGTGGATGCATAACGTAACTCCAGCCTCTACTGTAGCGTCTATTCTATGCGCCTTATAATGCGGTGCGCCTTATATCTGAAAAAAGTTTTAAAATAGGCCATTCATTGACGGTGCGCCTTATAATCCGGTGCGCCTTGTAGTGCGGAAAATACGGTGGTAACACTTTATTTGAAGGGGGTTGAATAAGACTGACATGACACTGTCATAAACACCTGTCATGAACATGAATAAGCCTTCATGAATATTTATGACTGTTGTCATAAAGCGTCATTCGGTAAATTATGACACTTTTAATACAAAGTTGACATTATTCAAAATGTCTTTGTTACGACAACTTGACATTAACCAAGAAATCATTACTGATATAAATTTGTTATAAAAGTATTATTGATTGCACTTTAAAAATGAGGTAACTTTATGTTATTAAAGGTAAAGTTTAAACAGTAATGATTTCTTGGTTAATGTCAAGTTGTCATAAAGACATTTTGAATAATGTCAACTTTGTATTAAAAGTGTCATAATTTACCGAATGGCGCTTTATGACAACAGTCATAAATATTCATGAAGACTTATTCATGTTCATGACAAGTGTTATGTCATGTTTATGACAGTGTCATGACAGTCTTATTCAACCCCCTTCAAATAAAGTGTTACCAATACGGTAAACTGAGTGAATCAGATCTCAAAAGAAGCTATTTAAAGTTTATCCTACAATCACATTGGAGGATGTTTAAATAATTTATTTGTAAGTTATGGTGGAAAATAAGTATTTTATGTAGTGATGCACCAATTTATTGGCCATCTGATTTCCTTAATTATGTGAGATCGATGCTCGGTCGATAATTATATATGAAGCCAATTTTATCCACCAATCTCATCTACCTCAACAAAGGTCTAAAAATCAATCATGTTCTTCTGCTCTGCAGTGAGAGATGCAAGTCATGTCTGCACATTTGCAGTTAACAATAGTTGCTTCACTGTTGCCAACTCAGGAACTTTCTTGTTATGTTTAGCGAAATTTCACACAAAAAAAAATTGGCATTGGCCAAAATCATAATCAGGAGGTCGGACTTTTTAAAAAGTGGTAATTGGCGATCAACCAGAAAATTGTAATCAGTGCAGCCCTAATATGTTCAATAATAAAAATTCAATTCAGTGCTTTGTAACATAACCTTTGTTGGCAATCACAGAGGTCAAACGTTTCTTGCAAGTCTTCACCTCCAGTTCTGTCTCCTGTTCTTTCCTTGTTGTCTCCGTCTCTAAACCAAACAACTGCTGGTCTCATTACTGTCTTCTCCACCTTTCCTTCCATTCTCACTCAGACCATTTTATCACACCTGATGCTTTTCTCCACCCGTTCCAAACTGCTTGAACTCACTTCTTCACCTGTTTTCCACAGGGTTTGTTGTTCTGAACCTTTGACCCTAAATACTTAGTCCTCTACCTTCTTTACCTCTTCTACCTGTAACAACACTGTTCCACCTGTTCTCCTCTCGTTTACACATTAATTCTATCTTGCTGTAACTAATCTTCCTCCTTCTCGTTTCCACTCCACACCTCCACCTCTTCCACTTGTCCTCTACCTGCTCCCTGCTCTCACTTCAGATCACAATGTCACCTGCAACTCAACGCTTTGTAACATGACCTTTGTAGTCCATGGAGCCTCCTGTCTGATGGACAGGCTGACGGATAAGGTCAACGCAAACAAGAAGGGGTTTAGAGCCGATCCTTGACGCACTCCCACCATCACATGGAACTCCTTCACCACACTTTAGTGTTGTCTCACAGCATGTCTCATACATGTCCTGTACCAGTCTGACATATTTCTCTGCCACTCCAGAACAACATCTCCTCTCTTAGCACCCTGTCGGTACAGTGCAGCTCTCTCTGGCCTTCTCTGTTCTTTCCAGGAAAACTGAAAGGTGTTTTCTTAAAAGGAGAACTGAAAGATGGTTTTAAGCTAACATGAGGTGAACGGAAATCACTGGCTTCCATCACTCTTCCCCACAGCTTCATTGTATCACATTTTCATACACAGCTGGTCTTTGTTTTCTTGGTAACACTTTATTTGAAGGGGGGTGAATAAGACTGTCATGACACCTTCATAAACATGACATAACACATGTCATGAACATGAATAAGCCTTCATGAATATTTATGACTGTTGTCATAAAGCATCATTCGGTAAATTATGACACTTTATGACACAGTCATAAATATTCATGAAGGCTTATTCATGTTCATGACAGGTGTTATGTCATGTTAATGAAAATGTCATGTTAGTCTTATTCAACCCCCTTCAAATAAAGTGTTACCCAAAAGTCATTTGGTGTTATTGAAAGTTCTGTAGCACCTTGAGGATTATTGAAAAAA